TTAATTTCTCTTATTAACACCTAGTGCAAAAAAAAATCCTCAAATCCAATTGTCTAGTACCATAGTCAAGCTTGAGCTCATGACTACATACTAAATATGCTAAACTCATACATTCCTATCACATTAGTCCTTAACTTCTCAAGTGTTAAGAAAAATTACAACCAGACTGAACATTTAATAACTTCATGTTCTTTTTGTTCGTTGAAGAAGCTGCAATTCCATTGTGGCGGCTAATCGTTTATTAACAAAAATATAAACAGCATGACAGGAAATCTTGTTCTCATATCTATTAGACCGAGCAAGCCTCTGTAAATCCCTAATATGTTTAGTACTACCTCCCCGCATCCATGACTCATTAATAACAAAATGAAAAACAGGTATAAATACGAAATAAATCCTACTGAACCAATATATTCATATGTGACCTCAGCTTTGGAAACTGTTTCTAATCTGCAAGTTTGTTAGGCAGTTTAAATGCCCATGCATCATTTCAATTAGCACATGTAGGAAGCAGGAAGGAATTTGAAGCAATTCTAAGAACACTTACATAGTCTTAGACTTGATATAGATGCTTCCCCCAGAACCACCACCGCCCTTCTCGCTGCTATCCCCTCCATCGGCGAGCACTGTGCCATTCATTATCAGGTCATCGGCATACAGCCACACGATACCGCCGCCGCTTCCGCCGTAGTCCTTCTCAACGCTGGTAGAGCCCCCTTTGCTTCCATAGCTAAACGGGTGCTCGAGGTCGGACCACGCGTAGGCGTCACCGCCCCACGAGTCCTCCTGCGTCTGCCCATCCTTGACGTAGCAGCTGGCGCCACGGCCACCGTGGCCGCCGCCGTCGCCGTGCGTCCCCGTGGGCACCCCGCTGGTCCGCTCGGGCGGATCGCCGGCGAGCGCGGTGGTGTTGACAACGACCGTGTCGGCGATTGTGACGTTGGCCGCGGCGAGGGAGACCCTCCCGGCGATGACGCGGACGCCGCGGCCGAGGCGGACCTCGCCGGAGAGGTTGGCGGAGATGACGCAGCCGGGCCTCTGGCAGGTGAGGGCGGCGCCGGCGAGGAGCACGAGGCTGCCCTCCCCGGTGATGTAGACGTCCCCGCCGAGCTCCACCTCCTCGGAGACCTCGCAGCGGGTGCTGAAGTTCCCCTTCCCGTGCAGGTCCCCCTCGCAGGTGGCCGCGGGCGCCACCGGCGGCGGCGGCGGCGGCGGCGGCGACGGCGGCGAGTAGTCGTGCCACGTCAGGATCGAGTACGGGTCCGGCGCCTCCCGATCTGTCGCCTCCCCCTCCCCTCCTCCTCCCCCCCAGCCCAGCCCCGCGCTCCCGAGGGCCACGCCGACGACCAGCAGCAACCGGAGGTGGAGGTGGGGTGCCATGGGCTGGGACGCATCAGACTCCAGCCGCTAGAAGAGTTCCCCGCAAGCTGAGCTCCGGTGGGCCTTCGACGGAGATCCTCCTCGGCGGCGGCGGCGGAGGCGGCGGGGTTGGGTTTGGTTGCGCCTCCTCCTCCTCCTCCCCCTATTTGGGTTGGGTTTAGTTTCTCTCTCCTCTACTACTAGTCTCTTCTCTTTCTCTCTCCTCTTCTTTTTCTCCTCTTCTTCTCGATGGGGGAGGGGGAGGGGGAGGGAGAAGCTGGGGGAGGCGTCGGATGGTGCTTTGAGATTCGTGCGGGTAGGTAGGCACTGCAGGGTTCGGCGTTGTGTGTGGACTGTAGTGGAGAGACTACGGACAAGTGGAGCAGAACTGGAGAAGACGCCGGGGTTTTTTTTTTTCCTACCTTTTTCTTCTCAGCTGCTTTGCTTAAGTGTGTTAAATTAGATTTATTTAGCTTTAAAAAGCACATTTATTGTTGGATTATTCTGTTTTATTTATCCCTCTATAAATCTAGAATTGTAGAGGTTTTTTTGCATTTATGCTCTGCTATTACATTAATTAACTCATTTCAGACAGATATGTTGTCTAGTAAAAAACCTATAATTATTATCATCTACAGTACCTGTAGATGTTTGGTTGACATTTTGTTTTTGTTTATGTCTTTTTTTTTCTTTTGCCCAGAGCTCACAAAACAGTTTGGTGGTTAGTTTAAAATGACATGTTAGCTTGATGAAAGTGCATAGGTGAGCTTTTTCAAAAGAAAAAAATAAAAAGATGGAAGTTATTGGACTTATCTGGAACCTTATCGAGGAAGACATCTAGAAAGTCTTCACGTTTTGCAAATACGCCCCTCTATTTTTGCAATGAGGTCACCAGCTTATCCATTCCTGTATTAGTACTACTTTTTTGTTTGTGTTGTTTTTATTTTTTTGCACCGTTTCTTTGCCTTGTAGTATAAACTGGGTATATTTGCTTTTTGTTTCTAGTGCAAAATATGCTTTATTTCCCTTATAAATAAGCGTGTTATGTCCAAATAAATTAAACTTTTTGTAAAGGCTCTTGGCAATACTATTTGGCAAGTAGCACTGGGGAACACTGCACACATGCTCTGAAGAAAAGCATACTTCCAGATGAAGTTTTCTGGAAAGAAAACAATTATTTACACAAATTAACTAAGGGTGTGTTTAGTTCACGTCAAAATTAGAAGTTTGATTGAAATTGGAACGATGTGATGAAAAAATTGGAAGTTTGTGTGTGTAGGAAAGTTTTGATGTGTTTGAAAAGTTAGAAGTTTGAAAAAAAAAGTTGGAAACTAAACCAGTTTAAAAATGCCTAAAATTTATTGATTGATGGATAATTTGATTTTATGATAGCTGTTTGAGGGTATAAAAAATAAATTAACCACTAAAGAGCAGAAAGGTTGTTTTTAAAAGGTATTTCAAGAAAAAAATTATATATAATTTATTTAAAAACACACCGTTTAGAGGCGAAGCGTGCAAATGAAAATGAGCATCTCAAAATCAGAAAAGAACGGGCCTTAATGCTGCCTACAAATCAAATGGGTGGAATATTGCATCATAACTTGCAATTAACGCTAATTAAATACACTTTTTTCTCTAACAAACTTAAGCACCAGGTGGTGGTTTGATGCCTGAAGAGGAAGACATCTAGAAAGTCATCACGTTTTTTGCAGATACATTCATGTATTATTACCTTCTTTTTTCACCATTTCTTTGCCTTATTATAAACTGGATATAATTTGCTTTTTGTTTCTAGTGCCAAAAAATGCTTTATTTCCCTTTGTCAATAAGTGTGTTGTCTCTCCAAATAATTGAAACTTTTTGGTAAAGGCTCTTAGCAATTGACAGGTAATAGTACACAAGTACTGATCAGGAACACTGCACACATGCTCTGCTGCTCTGAAGAAAAGAACACTTTCAGATGAAGTTTTCTTGGAAGAAAACAAATCATTTACACAAATCAACTTAATGCTGCCTCCAAAACCAAAAGGATATAACATTGCATCATAACTTGCAATTAACACTAATTAAATACACTTTTTTTTCTCTCTAACAAACCTAAGCACCAGGTGGTGTTGTGATATATACAGATGCCTGAAGAGTGAGACTGAAGATATTCTGAAAAGAAAGGGCTTGATGCTGAAGGAAGTTCAGACAGAAAGAAGCGTGCGTTTTTGGAGAAATCGGTGGCCGAAAGAAGTAAACGGTGCTTTATCTCCTTTCTTTTTTCTGCTAATATATGCAGGAAAAAAAATTGGGCAGCCTATATATGTGTACCAGCAGTGATCTAGTGATGCAGGCACACGACAGATAGATGCACTTTTAAGAGCACTGTTACACGTACTAAAATTTTCTTACTAAATTTGCACTAACAATCATCTCAACTGTTTGATTCAAGTAGATGGAAGATATAAAAAATCTAAATGCACTCATAATACGACATGTCAATGTTAGTAAAAATTTAGTAAGAAAAAGTTAGTACGTATAGATTTTTCCCACTTTTAATTTGTTCTTTTCCTTCAGTTTTTAGTTTGTGCACGGCTGCTTTTATATTGACATTGCTCGGTTCACCTTTTTGGAGATTGTGATTTACTCATGGTTTTGTTGTTCTAAAAGAAGACCACATCAGAAAATGTTGGGATAAGATCTGTTTCAGGAGGCCATGGTATTTAGAAAAAAAAAAGGAAAATGAAACAAGATTTTTTGCTGAGCCAACAAATGTTCCCCGGCCAAATTTTATTAAGAGATGCATGGTGTGTACTGTGCATGATTGTGTATTTAGCTATGATTTGTATAAAAAAACACTACAAAGGATTGTGAGAATTCAGACGAAATTTTAGATGTTGGATGGCTTTGATGACTCGTGTGGTGTGGACCACCAATTTTATGTTCATCCATGGAGGGAGAAATGGAAATTGTGATAATTCGAAGTTAAGATTTCACCAACGTGCAGAAAAGGTGATTACAGAATAAAATGGAAATTATGCTTTGCACTTTGTCGTTCATCTTGTCATACATTGAGCTTTCAAGGATGACTCAAGATGTCACAGTCCAAGGAATACTAGTTTGTCTGGATTTACAAGAAGCAGTTAAGGTCGGCTTTAGGCAAGATTAACAAATCCAACGTTGTCGGTCAACCATAAACAAGTTGAAATTTAGGTTGTACTTGTACATTTTGATGTATTTTGTAAATTATTAGATAAGTTACAATGGCTCTAACGTCATCGTATTATTTCCACTTCGACGTCATGGTATATCATAAATTCACATATGTTCCACACTAGTTAATAGCTTGCTAACTGGATATTAGTGTTAATTGCAATAGCATATATAGTACTATTACTATATACATATTGCTTCATCATTTCCTATGCAGCTTGTTAGCTGCAACCAAAATTTTGATTTAAAATCTTAATTTTAGAGTTGGTTTTATTTTTTTCATAGCTTTTTTTAATATTAGCTTTTAAATCGTCAAAAAATCATATATAAAATTTTTATCAAAAATTATTTTTTGTCACTAATGTTGTGATAACCAATTGTAGATGAAACGTTGGGACTGATAAGCATCATACATCAATGGACACATGTTAAATAACATTGCGTTGTTACAAATTATTAGCCTGGTTTAGCTCGACATTTCTCAAGAATTAATGAAGCACATGCTTTTTATGCAGAAACATGTGGAAATATTTCTGATTACGAGTGGACATGAAAACCCCACACCAAGATACACAGCAAAAGTGCCTTGTCATGACCCTGCCACCCCAGGCACTGTTAAGATTTTCAGAGCATAATCACCACACAAATTGCAACTTGACAAGGTTTTATTAGCCCCTAAGGCTAAAGCAGGAGCACAGTAGCACAGTGGCACAGTGCAGAGATAGAATGATAGATAGATAGAGCAGCAGTGATATAGAGGGCCACAGCCAAACACGCCAAACAAAACCGTCCATCACAGAAAGCCACTTTTTTTTTTCTAGGTTTTCTTCTTTTTCTCAACCTGGGAGAGAATCTGGGGTGGAGATTAGGCAGAAAAGGGGTACTAACATCACATTGACACCATTAGGAGTGCTTCTTCTGATCTCATTTTCAATAGGTCAAATCCAATGTTCTTTTCCATCCGATTGATTTTCCTTGCCAAGGAGGTCAGCCCAGCCGCCCTTTCGGCTAGGATGACAAAAGGATGATCTATGAAAGGGACGTATGCAAATTATGATAAACATATATATAAAAAATGGAGCTTGTAGTTTTTTCAACCCGAATTCTACATGAATGACGGGGGATCGAAATGACAATGATGGAGGGCGTGGCCAAGGTAGATAGTGTTTTAAATATGCTGAGCTATTATTTTTCTTCAAGTAAAAGGTACACGCTTTTATCCGAGGCCAGAAAAGTCTACCAAAAAGTTTTTAAAAAGATCATTTGGCGAGGAGGGGAAAAAAGTGTTTGATACATGTTAGGTGATTCGCAACCATAAAAAGCACGCAATTCCATGATTATAACTTTGGTACGTAGTGTTGTACTTAAGAGGGTGAACACTCTCTCTATTTTATATCATAATAAGTTGATTTGACTTTTTTCTTAATCAAACAAAGCAACATTTTCTACACAAAACAAAAATGTTATCAAAGTTACATGTAATGACGAAGCTAATTTAACGTTGTGAATATTGCTAATATTTTCTATAAATTTATCAAATAAAAAATTAAAAAACAAAATGACTTATAATTTAAAAAAACGGAGAGAGTACTATTTAAGAACCAGAAGTACATTCGACATGATGGCAAACCAAACCAAACCATTTCTGCTGGACAAGTAACCGGTTAACCACTTGTAACTTTTACACTTTTCAGGGACCAATTTTATGCTGAGCTGCTGCTGGCCCATGCATAGCTGAGATGCTGGCTCAAACAGAGATTGCCCCAAAAGGATGAAGCCCAGATGAAGCTAAGTAGAAGAAATATTTTCCTGAGAAACGAATAAGTCCATTATACATCTCTGAACTATTGCTGCTGATCGAATTGCATCTCTCAACTGCAAAACCGGGTGTAACACCTTTCCACCATATTTCGAAGATGGGGGAGACGTTGTACCCGGTTTTGCTGTTGAGGGATGTGGTTCAACCAGAAGCAAGAAGAGGGAGACAAAATAGACTTACTGTCATGCGAAATGAATTACCACGGCCCAATTACCTGAATTGGCCGGAGGAACGTGGAGCTTCCCTTCTCACACATGTGGACCGGACCATCCATCCGCCGTGCGTGTGCCTGCATTGCCCCAACTTGGGCTTCTTTTTCGATTTTTTTTCAGATCAAACTTGGGTACTTTCACGATTTCAACACAGTTTTTTTTTTACAACTATCAACACAGCTCGACTATATAGCAAAAACCTGCATGGCTTAATTTGGACCCTTTTTGTTTCAACTTGTTCATCCGATCCGATTATTATAACAGATTAATTGCTCCATGTTTCAAAAATAGCAAATAGCACATAGTCACAAATAGCAGATAATCTCTATAGGCGTTGATTCTAAAATCGGTACCTATATGGTTGTGCATTAGAGCACCCGCAATGGTAAAGTAAGGTGCTATCTATAAAACATGTACATCTCAGCAATAGACTAGATTAATAGTAAACCATCTCAATAGTATGTCTACATGGGTATCTATAGCTTTCTAATACATTGTCTCGTTTTTCTCTATAGACTATCTCCAGGTTAGTAGATAGCTTTGCTCTCTCTCTCTTCATTTAATCTCTTTCAAGTAGGAAAATATGCTGACATGGATATCTTATAGAGAGCCTATAGATAACCATTGTGGGTGCCCTTAGTACCGTTAAATTGACACCGGCTGGAAAATCGATCGGTATTTATGGTCGGTTCTCAATCGGTGTCAATAAGGGCTTTTGTAGTAGTGTATATGTATGAACGAACATTTGAAATCATAAAATACAGGGCTTGTGAACTATGGTCACACGCATATATCGACAGTAGTATAAGCTACGGGGAAAATATCGTTGCATACATCTTCTACTCATTAACTTGTCAAGTTAAATTTGTATTATATGACCTTACACGTCTTTGGTTTGATTGATGATTGATTAATTAATTGTTTGATCTAGACAACTCCATGTATTTTTGTGATTAGAATTGCTTCATGCTTTTTCTATATAGACAAATGATTATAGAGGGGTGAATGTTCAGAAATTATTTTAACTTCACAAGAACAACACTGAAGAATTCAATTTAATGTACATTTAATTCTAGCTGGCAAATTACAGTCAAATTAAACAAGTATAAATTAAGATTGACAGGTAATATTGAAAGATCGAAGCTAGCACTTCATTACTAGGAAGAAGTAATTAATTAAGGTGGCATAGAATAAATTGCACAAGTATATTGGATTCTATTTCTCAACTGCTATGCATAAAAAAACAGTATATAGTACTTGCAACAGATTCCAATTACAATATAATGTAAACTTGTGCTCACAAATTAAAGAAACTGAAAGCCTAAATTGATTTATCAATTATATGTAGTACATGAAATAACAGTAAGCACCAGCACATACATAGTAGATTCAATTCATGGACAGATTCAGAGAAGGAGCTAGCTAGAGACCCCAATTAATTAGACACCCTTCAAGAGTATATATACTAGCTACACTCATATTATTTCTCAGAAATACTTCACAGAGAGAGTACGCATGATCGATTTCGGTGCTCACAATAATTATTTGATCCGGCTCTTGATCATTCAGAGATGATCTAGTCTGACAGCCAAGAACAAAAATTAAACCAATGCACACCTTCTTCTGACGACTATGAAAATCGTCAGAACGACCTCGTCTCGTCTTTGTACTAGCTGGAAACTAGCTAGTGTATGCCTGCATATAATTAATTAAACAGCGAAAAGAAATATAATGAATCAAATCATAGCTAGTTTGTGTTTTGCCGTGGAGATGATATTGGCAGGCTCATCATAATAAGCATGTGCATAATAGCTAGCTAGGCAGAAAATTTAACAGGAGATCTGGCAAAGAAATTACTGTCAACTGAGAGAAGGAGATTAATCATATTGGGCATGGTGAACGGCTGACAGATAGAGAGTGAGCACGCACAGCTCCCAGCATGGCTCTTGCATGCTAAGAAAGCACCGTGTGTGCTCACTCTCTTCTGTCAGACCTCCAAAACCCATAGAGATCTCTTCCCCTCTCAAGACAAATTAACTGATCCAAAAACCCCAAGAAATTAAATTAAACTGTTCTCTTTCTTTGTGAAAAAAAATGAACAAGCATGTATGTGGTTGTGGTCATATATGCAAGAAATGAGGCCGGATCAGCAGCTGATCATCATACACAAATAATTAAGCAGCTTAATTTGCTCAAGTATATTACTACCTCAAAGAAGATAGATATGAGAGAACAGTATAACACATGAGGGAGAAAGAGAGAAAGAGAGATCAAATGGCTGACAGAGAGAGAAGTGAGCACACATAGCTTCAAGCATGAGTCCATTCAGCATGCAAGAAAGTCACCATGTGTGCTCACTCTCTTCTGTCAGCCTCACCTCTCACCCCTCTCTTCCTCCTAACAACTCCAACAAGCACACAAAAACACAAACCAAGAAGAGTTAAACATGAAGCTAGATAGCTAGTAGTAGCCTCTTCTGAAGAACTGATCATCTCTCCCTCTCTCTATCTAGACCTCTCTCATGGATTAGCTAGCCATATCTCTCTCTACATCTCACTAACTGTAGAACATTACTGTTGATTTGGATGGTGAGCTGTGGAGGAGATGGTACGGTATTTATAGGAGATGGAAAGGATGGGTTACTTGGGCAGTTTCCGTTTGAATGGAATAAACGGGGAGATGCCGCCATTGGCCGATTGATGTAACAACAGAGAAGACGAATTAATTAATTAATAATTAATTAATTAATTTTCTTGTCACCAACCTAGCTACTGGTATCGACCGTAGTAGCTGCCTATAGCCTAGCTTCTCTCTTCCATCTCGACATCTCTTCTCCTATGTGGGACAAGCTTGACACATGAACGAGATAAGCTTGCTTTGGAGCCTACTACAGCTTGGATGGACCATATATATGCATGCATCGATCATACAGTCCACAACTTTACAGAAAATAAACTTCTTTCTGTTAATTCACAGCTAAAATATAATCTTTCGACTATTACATAGGATTAATATATAGCAAAAAAGAAAAGTGTATACAATATACTCCATCTGTCCTAAAATATAAGGAATTTTGAAGGGATATAATATTTATTAGTACTATAAATCTAGATAAGCTCTTTATCCAGATTCATAGTACTAGAAAATGTTACATCCCTTTAAAATCCCTTATATTAATTATGAGACGGAGGGAGTATAATTATATATATACATAAAATGAACTACTGATCAAAAGTTGATCATGAATTCGCATATAGCACTATCTGTGTCGACATTATATGCAAGAATCTTTCTTCTTTCCAGCTATATGGGACATGCATGGTCCATTGCTGAAGGCTTGACTACTCATGAGTCATGAGTCATGACTACTCCTGCATGGAGTACTCTGCTAGCTGCACGCTCTGAATCTCTGATCAAAAGCCATGTAAACGGCGGTGCAATTGCAAGCAGTAGCTTCTCCCAATGCGCCTTGTAATTCTAAACCAAATTTAACCTAACACACATGTGCATATCTGCCCCACCGCCGATTCTATCCAATCACCCCATGTCATGCGCCATTCCTCTCTGACCTCTCTATTGTTCTTATCTAGATCTCCCTCCCCATCGGAAATTTTCAGGATTCAATTTGTTCTTTTCCAATGAATAGAACGGTGTGGATGAACTAATATTTTCAATTCCATTTTTCAGCTTTATACTAGTATTCAATTAATTCATTTGTGCCCTCCAATAATAATCACAAGTCATTCAGTTCATTAGCACGGTTAATATATTATAGGACAGACCGAGGAACATATTTCACAAGTCATTCAGTTCTTCATTAGCATGGTTAATATATTGTAGCAGGACAGACCGAGGAACATATTTTGACAACCAAATCAATTTAATATACCCCTCCCAAAATTGTTTTTAGAGAGGTTTTTTTTTACCTGGCCTCTAAATCCAACCGAATATATGCGGTATTTTGAACAAGCAAAAAACATGAAGGCCATTCTTTGTGTGTTTGAACATCTCTCGGGGCTGAAAATAAACTTTCATAAAAGTGAAATTTTCTGCTTTGGGGGAGCTAAGGAAATGGAGGACCAATATAGACAACTGTTTGGTTGTAATTCTGGTTCCTTTCCATTCAGATACCTAGGAATCCCCATACACTATCGAAAACTCAGAAATTCTGATTGGAAATGTGTGGAGGATATGTTTCAAAGAAAACTTAGCACATGGAAGGGCAAAAATAACTCCTATGGTGGGAGATTGGTTCTTCTTAACTCGGTTCTTTCGAGCCTTCCCATGTTCATGTTATTATTTTTTGAAATACCTCGAGGTGTACTTCAAAGACTGGATTACTACCGATCGAGCTTTTTCTGGAGCAGTGATAGCCAGAAAAAGAAATATAGGTTAACAAAATGGGATTATATATACCGGCTAAAAGATCAAGGTGGACTGGGTGTCCTAAATCTTGATATCATGAATAGATGTTTGTTGAGCAAATGGCTATTCAAGCTTCTTAATGGTGAAGGCCTATGGCAAAACCTTTTGCGCAACAAGTACTTAAAAGGTAAACCCCTCTCCCACATGTCACACAAACCAGGAACATCCCAATTTTGGGCTGGCCTAATGAAAGTAAAAGATCAATTTTTTCAGTATGGATCTTTTAAACCTGGTAATGGAATGGAAATAAGATTTTGGGAAGACACATGGTTGGGCTTGCAACCACTCAAATATCAATATCCTTCTTTGTACAATGTGGTTCGAAAGAGACATTCTACTTTGGTAGAGGTTATGAGCACAACACCGTTGAATGTTTCATTCCGACGATCAATTGTAGGACCAAAGTTAGTTGAGTGGAATGATTTGATTTCTCGACTAGCTAACATAACCCTGTCAAATGAAAAGGATTGCTTTATTTGGTCGCTATATAAAAATGGTCATTTTTCGGTCAAATCCATGTATAATGCGATCATCAATTCCAATGTAATAATCCACAAGAGGATCTTATGGAAGGTAAAGGTACCACTAAAAATCAAAGTATTTATGTGGTTTCTTCACAAAAAAGTAATCTTGACGAAAGATAACCTCATAAAGAGAAAATGGAGGGGAAACAAGCAATGCTGTTTTTGTAATACACAAGAGACCATCCAACATTTTTTCTTTGACTGTCATGTTGCACGTTTTTCTTGGCGATGTGTCTTCTTTGCCTTCAATATTCCCCCTCCCCACAATGCATAAGATATTTTTGGTAACTGGCTAAGGGGAGTGCCTAGACCCATAAAAAATGATTTTATTTGGAGCTAGTGCTATATGTTGGTCAATTTGGCGTTGCCGTAATGATATGGTTTTTAACCATAAAAAATACCTAACATCATGCAGGTTATCTTCATGTGTTCCAATTGGCTCCACTCTTGGTGTATGATGCTTTTACAGGAACAACAGGATACTATGAGCAATGGTGCTACACGCTTGAAATTGGTAGCCAAGGAACTTTTACTCCAGTTTGGATGGCGTGGTACCTACAGAATTTCGTGATAGACTCTACGTGATTTTTTTAAAAAAACATGATTTTAGTATATCATATTATCGGCAGAAGTTGGGGGTTTGTCCCATCTCGCCTTTTTTAACCTCTTTTCTATTCACTTCTGGACTTTTTGGCTATGTGCCTATGGGCAGAGACCGGAGATGTAACCCATTTCCATTATCTAAAAAAAATAACCACTAGACCACATGCCTTTTCACACCCCTCCCAAATTTAGCCACACTGTCAGCAATTTGACGACTTCTTCTTAGGTAATGACATGTGGAGAGATCGAGTTTAATTGTCAGATTCACACAAACTAACTTACGCCAGTGGCTTGCATCACCAACGACGCCGTTGGTGGGAATCCTCAGCAAAATTAATCACCATCATTCTATACATAATCCTATATAAAGGATTATTAATATATACAAGGACTAACTATTATTCCCATCCTCTTGCCATTCGATATGCTGCTGGCTGCTGATTAATTACTTCATTACAATATGTTTTTAGTGGGTTGCGGATGCAAAGCTGCGGAATTTTCTTCAATTCGATCGAACATATATATGGTTAACTTTGTAAACTCTTTTTTCCCAGCTAGATTAACCATGTGGTTGATCATGTCACCGATAGCGATATGATGATCGATTAAATTATCTATCATACGTGTAGTGCATCCCAAGAATCCACTTTTACAATATAATCATCTTGTTATTGCCTGCAAATTTCAACTACAAGATTTGAGTAGCATTTGTTAAACAATCTGGATTCTTGCAACAATTACTTTTACAGTAGCTGTGTCCGAACAGCTTGCTGTAAGTTATGCAAATGAATTATTCGATCGAAAGCAAATTCATGAATGTATCACAATATTATATATGAGTGTTGTGTTTTCAGCATATTTAAATCATCTGCATATATGCCTAATAAAAGTTTTTGGTAATTATATATAGTGTTGCTATCTACTGATGGCTGGCTTTGTTTCGTGTGTGCCACAGAACAAATTGTAACAGCGACATAATGCTAAACAAAAATCAAGAAATGGATGAATAATTGGAAAAGGCACGTGCTTCGCATCTAGATTTCCTTTTGTGGCGGCCTCCCTTTTCCAGAAAGAGCAACCATCCCCACTCCCATATATTGTTGATTATACTGGAGAGACACTACTAGAATCCAGAAAAGACGAATTATTGCTAAAGGGTGCAATGGAAATTAATTACCTTGGCGATGTAGTTGGTGTTGTCTGTCGACGAGTATTTGTTGATTTCTTGTCACACTGGAAAGTTTGATATGGCCATAGTTTTTTTTGTCGGGCAAACCGCCAATTAAGATAGTTTTCCCGTAGATTTGACAGGTATTCCTAAAAGATTGTCCCACAAAATCAAATTTACATGGCGGTTTTGATGCTTCCCTTGACGGTTTGTGCCACTTAGAAAAATCGTGATCCTTGTAGTGAGATGAACTAAAGGTACGAAACTAGCAAGAAATTAACAAACATATATAGACGGAACACAAATTAAGGGTCTACTTAATTTGCAAGGTATTTATGGACTATATTTTATAAACGGAAGACACATGACTCATACAAATAAAAATTACTCTCTCATGATACCGTTGATTTTTAAACACACATACACATACACATACATACATACATACATACATACATACATACATACATACATACATATATGTGTGTGTGACAATTTGTATTATTCAAAACTTTTGTGAAAATACATAAGTCATACTTAAAGTACTTTTTAGTGATAAACTACGTTAAAAAATAAATAATGATTATATATTTAAATAAGATGAATGGTTAAATGCTTGTTAATAAATCAACAGTGTAATTATCTATTAAAAACAGACCAGAGGTAGTATATATATAATAGGGAAAAGTTCATTTTACACCCTCGAACTCTTATGTTTGTCTAAAATACACCCCCAAACTCCAAAACCGGATATAATATACCTCTCAACTGTCAATACCGGACACTTTACCCCCTAGAGTTGTTTTTGCGATGGTTTTTGCACACGTGGATGACACTTTGGATGCCACATCAGCGCACAGGATGTTTTGACCAACTTTCTCATGAGCTGCGATGGCAGCGGCGCGAGGAAGGAGCATCTCCGACAAGCTGCTGTGGTCATCG